TCAATGGATGATGAACACAAATGCCAGGCACAAACATGATAGTCATAACATAGAAGTGATGCACGGCATAATTTAATTCCGCCTTGTAACACAGTGCTCATTTTAAAGTGACATATAAACCTTCCTCATTCGTGCACCGCATATCACCGATTCTCATTGTACGTGGGATCTGATAATTTTAAATATTTATTTTTGTATTCCTCACCGCACCAGTGTATTCATGTAGCAAAAATAAAGCTGGTAAGTGGATGATTTCTAGACTTTAGACATATTCTTTCTTCTTCAAGATACAGTGGAATAAAATAAAACGGCTATAAAAACCATCACACCAAACGCTTCGGAATTGTTCAAAGCTCAAGAGCAAATCATCGTTCACGTAAGTCAGTATATGTCGCCGATTGTCGAGCGGTCTTGTAGTGAGCAGCCCATGATAGTACACATTGCGAGCTAGGCGAAACTTGCAGTTCCGGCTCCCTGTGTGATGCGCACTGTGGCACACGATGCAGTCTGGCGTGCACGTAGGTGGCTCTCCTTCTGGCGGGGCAGGATGGTCCTTCCCGCAACGGTGACATAAATTACTCTTCGGACGATAGCAAACGTCCGCTCGATGTCCAAGTCGTCTGCAGTTGTAGCACGTCTCGACTAAATTTCTACGCGATCACAGCGTACAGACAGTTCCAGTAAGTAATCTGCCGGAGTATGCGTTTTCCCCCGAACGTAATCTGAATCGCTTTTGACTTTCCCAGAGGTCTTGCGTCCAGAATATTTATGCCTTCATTCTTCTTCGGGAATCCCGCCCGAACTTCTTCCACTGGGCATCCATCATAAGCATTGTAAATCACTCCCCGCACGGAGTTTTCCAACGGCGCCACGAACGCCGAAACCGGCCGGTCACGATCACCCAGCTTGAGCGTCTTCACAGTCGCGTATGCCCCACTGCGATTTATGCACGGTGTGTTCACCGTCAACGTGTTGTTTGTGCCATTAACCCCACAATGTCTTCTTCCGGCAATCGCACTTGTTAGACGCACTGCTGCTCTCAGTGCACATCCGAGTTCTCTCGCTGTCACAACACTCAAGTCCCGGTTCGGGTCCTGTACACAACCTTGAAATCCGTGGCTGGCAACTTGAGAAACAGTCCGCGTTTCTTCCACACCGGCGCTTTCCCCCGCTTGATTTGCTGCGCTCCGTGCGTCTTGCACCCGTCGCTGCCGGCCTGCGTCTCGCAAGGCTTACTCTTGGCGTTGTCGCCATGCTGAGTCTTCTTAAATCAGTCCTGTGCCTTCAGCACTGGAGCCCTCTGTCCCGCTTCAAAACCTTTGGGCGTTATAGTCTCCCCTTTGACGTAGTATTTCATCTTCAGCCCAACAAGGCCCACGGTCACCGCCCGGCGACGCGGCCTAGGCTTGGCCTAGGAGATAGGCCTAGCCTTGCCACCCGCGGGGTTAATAGGAAAAT